GAGCCATAAGGAAAGTCTTTCCAGGACTTCTCTTCACTTCTTGCACTACTTGCAATGAGGAACAGCCCACTGCTTCATTCGGAACAGGTGAGAAACGTGGTTAACCTTTAGTTTCTTTTCGACTATAAGTTCTCGTGCCAAGAAAGTGAGACACTACTCAGAGCTGAAGCTCAAGAACAAAATTGAGCTTTCATTTATTAATCTATCCTAGTCCATTAATCTTTCAATATATGTAATTGGCACTTGAGGGGTGGAATCAATGCGATATTAAGCAGACCATGAGGGACAAAAGTGTAGGTGTTAAGCAAGGAAAGAAGTGGATAAGACATAAAAGGGAGATTTTTAATTTCAATAAGTAAAAGAGAAAGAGCATAAGTAGAGGAAAGCCGGGACGAAAATGGGACGAGAAAAGAAATTATTCTCGAAATGGGAGGGCAATTATAAACTGTTAAAAATTAACACAAACACGCTATGAAAAACCACTAAACCAACTCAGGTAAGAAATCTGAGAGGTCAGCTCAGTCTATGATTGGTAGCACTTTAGTCCTGGTTAACACTTTTCAGTTACCAGATTCGGGAAAGCCGGGATCAGCAATCACACCGATGAAACCAACGACAGAAGAAGAACCAAAAAACGAACCCAAACCAGTAATCTTTTAAACAGTTCAACGATGAAACAATGAATATGTAAAAGCAGCAACCCTCGAAACAATAGCACTTGAGCACTTACAAAAAATACATTTACAGGCTGTTGCTACCACTCCCGGTCCGGCAATCAATAATGCAGCATCAGAACTACTTCGGGTGCGAGCTATGAAGCTTTTCAAAAATTGCTCCAGATTTTTTAATGACATAAAAATCAACACACGCTCGATGAGGGAAAGATCATAGACAAAACCTGGAAATTCTATGATAAGCACAGCACAAAATCGAAGCCTTTTGTAGTACGGATGGGAGAGTAATCTTAATAAACGTCTACGAAAGCGTTGGTGTCCCTTATTGGCTTTAAGCCGATATTGTGGCAGATCAAAAATAGAGTTCGCCAGCAGCATGATGAACAATAATTTAGGCTTTTTCGAACGCGCCATGGCTTGCTGCCCTCGGAAGAGATCTTACTTCTCAACCGGTACTGCTCTCTACTAGCGTTCTGTCAATCTTGTGATGTTTTTATTGCTCTAGTCCCTCGATGTTGTGACTGTTTATGACAAAAACTGACATACTCTATGACGATTTAGGTTTTCTCGCAAGTGCCATGGCCACCGCCGTGGCTTTCTGCTCTCGGAAGAGATTTTTCGACACCACCGGTACTGATCTCAATCAACGTCTAGTCAATGTTATAAAGACTGTCGTTTCCAACATGCAGCGTGTACATGTTTCTTTTAGGCTTACCCGCATGCGAGAACGTTAGAAGGAAGTGACATGTATCCATCTCCTCAAACGGTACCGTTCTCTTTTTGAACATAACCAAAGTTTATATCATGAAATTATGATAAATGGAACCGCATGAGGAAACAAGTTTAGGGTTTTCCGAACATGAGGTGGTTAGGCGCACTTGGAGCCGACACATCACGCCTTCAGGTATCCTTTGAGGTTTATTTATTGTATATTTATTTATTGTTTATTTAGGTTGGGATCATTTAAGCAACTGATTGCAGTATATTACAGAAACCACCAGAAATCGTGGACTACCCTGTTGTCATTATTCCTGAATCAAGTTTTTACCAAATAGGACAGCCCGTTCCGAGAGTCTATGCCACACACCCTCCTGGATCAGAACAGGTATGCTAGCAAGCTACGAGTCATGGCACACATTAGGCAGTAATGGAGAAGGTCGTGCAAGTCAATTTCCCTTAGCTTCTTTTACATAATCTATGAATTGCCCAACTTCTTCTGTATCTGCAGTTTCTACTTTACATGAAGCTTGTTACAGCGGTTCTACGTTTCATTTAGTATGCTGTGCCAGTTCCCACCTATGCGAAACCACCCCATTGAAGAACGCGGGGGAGAAAGCAACGAAAGGCCGTTTGATCTTGACGTGGAAAAATTATACTGAGTAAATGTTGAATGGTTGAAAAGCTGACAGACAAAATTAAAGAATAAAAAAAAATACGAGACGAGCATTGAAAAGCTACTACCTGAGCGTATGCCATCTGCGTAACCTTTTGCAAATCATCTTGTGCTCCTGTAGTAATACGTCCAAAAAAGATTTCCTCAGATACACGACCTCCAAGTGTCATACACATCCTGAAAAGCAAAGGCAGAAGTAAAAAAGTAAATTACAAAAGTAGAAAGTATAAAAAATTGAACAAAGAACAACAGCAAAGCTGAACATTGCGAAGAAAAAGCGTGGTATTTGAGAGCACATTTCAAGGGTACGTGAGGATTGTGCTTGAAAACACGAACCTGTCAAGAAGTTGCTCTTTTGAGTATAAATACTGCTCTTTAGGAAGGTACTGAGCATATCCAAGTCCTTTACCACGCGGTATTATGGAAACCTGAACATAAAGGCCGGTGAAACCTTATAACTGAATTCAAAATTCAAAGGCATATGCAATAAAAGACAAACAATTCTACTTTAAGTAAAGGATCGGCATGTTCAAGGAACCATCCCGCAATAGCATGACCTGCTTCGTGATAGGCGACAGTTCGTTTCTCTTCCGGTTGTAACACCTTCAAATATAGCCATTCGCTTATGAAGACACAAATCTTTCAAAAGACGTGTGTGGCCTGTTACCTGACTCTTCTTTTCCATACCAGCAACGACCCTCTCAATTGCTTGCTCGAAATTCTTCTGACTAATCTCTTCTGAGGCGTCTCTGGCAGCAATTAAGGCCGCTTCGTTACAAACATTAGATATATCGGCACCTGAAAAAAACATATTTCAACAAAGAAAACACGTAGTGCTCAAAACAAAACAGAAACAAGCGCTTACCAGAAAAACCCGGAGTATGAGCAGCAAGTTTACGTGACAGCTGGACTTTATCCAGTGATGTTTTGAGGGGTTGAAGATGAACTCGGAATATAGAGGCTCGTCCCTTAAATCACCTTTACATACCAACATGTCTTTAAAATGAGGAATCAAAGAAAAAAGCAACCTTTATGTCAGGTACAGGAACATAAATTTGCCTATCAAAGCGACCAGGACGCAACAAAGCGGAGTCGAGAATGTCGACTCGGTTGGTGGCAGCTATGACAATCACGGAAGACTCCTCCGTAGAAAAACCTGAAGGTATTATCTAGAAAAAACGTTAACACTTTATGCATCAAAGGACTAACCATCCATCTCAACAAGGAGTTGATTCAAAGTATTCTCTTGCTCAGAATGCCCTCCCATTCCACCCTTTCCGCCTCTCTTTCGACCAACGGCATCAATTTCATCGATGAAAAGAATACATGGGCTGTTCTTCCTGGCCATTGCAAACATGTCACGTACTCGTGCAGGGCCAACACCGACGAACATCTGCAACCAGGTTCCTATGCTTTCATAAAGTAAACATCAATAGATACGTACCTCGAGAAATTCTGAGCCCGAAACAGTGATGAAAGGCACATTAGCCTCCCCTGCAGTAGCTTTCGCAAGCAATGTTTTACCAGTACCAGGCGGTCCGGTTAAAATTGCACCCTGGACGAACACTTGTTTCGTAATAATGACCTCTACTGCATACGAATGTGACCAACCTTCGGAATTTTGGCACCGAGATCTTTGTATTGCTGCGGATTTTTAAGGAAATTCACGAACTCCATGATCTCTATCTTTGCTTCTTCACAGCCAGCAACGTCTTTAAATGCCACCTTAAGAAAAATGTGTTATAATTCTAACATATTCATTCAAAACGACCTGAAAGGTAAAAAATGAATTACCTTGATGTCCTCTTTGTTAATAATTCGCGCAGTACTTTGGCCGAAGCCACCGAACATGCCTCCTAATCCTCCACCGCCGCCTGCTCGGCCAGCACCTTTAAAGGCTACCATAAATTCTCATAAAAAGCAATAATGTGATGGCTTGACTGCTAAAGCTGTGACGTCGAACAGTGGATCATATAAAATTGCTATCACTAAGAATTCGGAAGAAAGTAAAGGAACAAGAAAGAAGTATGTGTAGCTAGAAGCACTTCTTGAAACTAGATGAACAACCAGTAATTTCGAACCCACCTCCAGCCGCTCCACCTCCTTTCAACATGCGATAGATATAGTAACCAAATAGTAGTGGAAAGGCTATGCTTATAATATTTGGAATTTCTCTTTTGCTAAAAACATCTTATGACAACGGCACCATAAAAAGGCGAATTATAATCGATGCAGAACTTGATTACTTACAAATCAAATTCGGATTTGTAAAGAACGGGTATTTGCCGATCGGCATCATATCCCAAATGCATTTGGGCAGCTGCCAAACTTCGTTCGAAACTATCTACGCTTCCGATATTGAAATAACATGTTTGCTAAAAAAAAAAAAAGAGGAAGTTCTTCGTGTTCAATGACCAACCCTCACCCAAAATAGAAATATACTTACACCCGTCTTCGCTGATGAAACTATACGGACCCATCTCTTATCTACAACTTCTAAGCGATCCACCTGAAGCAAATTTAATGCGTAATGAAATTTTGCTACGCGATTTCAGATGGTAAACGAACGGGTTGTGCTCTGAACTTACAATTCCGGGTTCAAGGAATTCATGAAAGAATTCTTTCCATGATATCTCTCTGTACGACTGATATTCTATGAATAAATAAATAGCTACAATAACACCAATACTAACTGCCACTTGCTGCCAACTACCAGGGCTGAAAAGATAATTTATTAATATCGTTCCTTATCAACCTCCCTTTTGGAAAAAAGGATTTCATTATGGCTGGCTTGACAACAGCCAATACCCGATTCATGCTCAATTTTCAACCCAATTTTGGATTTTTAAATACTTTCTAAAGTTGCTCAGAAAGGAGCTACTCGCGGTTGTGGGTGATGTTCACGGGCTTACTAAATTATCAAGCATCACATAGAGGTTATTGAAATTGGTGCGTGTTTTGAAGCAAAAAGAGATTAACAAACTCAAAACTGTTAACCACATACGTAGACAACAGAACTAAATATACCATAAAGAAATTTCAAGTTTATGAAAAGAAGAAGTTGAAAATGTCGGAAAACTCACAATTGCTCAAAGGGTCCACCGGATCCCCCGCTGCTTCCGGAACTTTTGCTCTTTTTGGAATCTGGAATAAACAGCCGTGAACCGTATATAGAAAGGGAGATGGGAAAAGGAGCAGAAAAACCGATGCTCACAAACATGCGCGAGTTGTTAAAAACAAGTACTTACCTGAAGGTTTTGCTGCTCCATCCGTCTTCTCCTTCTCCGGAGTCTTTGCATCGTCAGAATCAAAGAATTTCTTGAAACCCTTGGGAGTTGCTATCCAATTTACTGTGTCTCTGACTCGTACCATAAATCTCTCTTCGAACCATGAATCTTTTTGTAGCAATCGGGAAACTTCTTTTTGTGATAACGAGCTTTTATTCTGAAATGGAAACCTTGTATACCTGAAGAAGTCAAAACTATATTCTCAACAGTGTTACCTTGTCGTTAATAGAGCTGCATGAAACTAGAGGGGAAGATGTCGAGGCAGGACATCTAAATTTTATAAAGTACCCAATTCCGTTTTGTATGAACCCGCGACTGCTCCTCCCATTCGTACAAACTCGCAACATACCTGAAACTCTGTACTTTTAGAGTAATCTTGCTATAGGCGAAATTTCAAAAGAAAATAACTTGCGAAAAAATACTGGAACATCTGAATGCAATAGTTATACCGACATCGAAGTAGAATACGGTAATTGTTGTGCCATTCACATGAAGTAAACACAAATATTTAGAAACTGTTAAGAGAAGACCTCACAGAGAAAAAGGATGATTTCAAATGATGAAATCCCAATCAGCGCACCAAGTGCAACAACAGCTGAGAGGCAGTGCGCAAATTATCATCAACCCACGTGGTTGAATAGGTAGCATATTTACCAAACCAGAAGTTCTTTTTTGAAGGCAGACTTTAGTTGTTTCAAATACCAGACGATTACAAGAACTAAGAAAAAGTGAAACACATTTGTAACAGTTGTCCGGATTGTGGGATAACTATGATTTTTGGAGCGGCGATCTTGCTTTTTTAAAGGCGGGCCTTTGTTTGTTATCATTAAGCCCCAGCTGATGGATAACTTCTATCATCCCCCGCGGAAATGTAAGCTACAGACAAGCACCCTTGTTCAGTTTGACTGGGAGTTTACAAGGAAATGGAGCAGCCTGTATCCCTTACTAAGAATACCTAATAAGCCGCCCCTTTAAGAGAAGAAGAATTGTGAATTGTGATGTAAAACTAGTAAGGCAATTCTATCTCTTCTGTGACAGTGATGATAACCCTCAGTGATAGTGTTTGTAGAGCGGTAAGTTAGTGAAAGACGAATAGATAAGCATTGATATGAACTGGTTTTCAATTCGTTAGCTAAAAGGAAAACTGACAAAAGCCCTTCTGTTCATAAGACATAGACATAATTGGCTTGGTGCTTTACATACTCGTATTTTTGCGCGCTATTTAATTAGTTACATTACTGCCAACAGAGAAGTAAAGTTGCCAGGGACGGGGAGAGGCTCCGACGGAACTAAGACCAAAAGTACCGTCCGTGAGTTACTGGGAATCTACGAAAATCCCTATTTAATTCGACCCTTTCCATGGGAAAAACCGCTTTATCAGCAAAAGCTGGAACGGGCTAGTGGAATCTCAGGCTACAGGATCGCCTTATATCAGCTCAAGGGGATCCCACCCCCCCCCCCCTCTTACACAACACTCCAACAAAACCCTGTTCAAAGCTACTGCATAAGTAACGCAAGTTAATAAACGACCAGTCCCTCTCTAAAGTTGGCTTTCATCCAACTTTCATGCCTCAGCAGGAATAGTGCTCATCCGCCTGCTCTCTAACGCCGTGTAAGAGACGCAGAGGATGAAAAGTTCTAGTTCGCTCCAGTTAAATATTTCGCAACAGTGCACTGGTTTCTTAATGGAGCAGCTTCTGCCTTGTTTTAACTGATACCAGAATAAAAGTAGGCTGGCCACCGCAGGTCGTTGTATAAGCCACATACGCATTCCATATGGCACTACAATCCGGAATGGAAGCCAAATGTGTGAGCGCATCCCCCAGCGGGATTGGTTAACTCTCCAATACTTCATACCTTTCCTTTTACGGAGAATTATTAGAGTCTTCGATTTCAGGCAGAATTTGAACATTGTTTTTTGCCCCAATTCTCCGTAGTACTATTCATTTCCAATTCCAATACTACGAGAGTTTCAATGAATAAGAAAGTAAAAAAAATTGAAGCTCTCTCAGAACGTGACATAAAGCAAACGAATATGGGTAGCTATCCGGCTCATTTGTCCTTCGATTTCCACCTACGCCGACGGGGGTTTCGAAATGAAAAGTCGTGCTGTTGTGCAGATAGAGAGTAGACCAAGAGGCAGTGTTCCGAGCTGTGATTGTCGTTGATTACTGGGGACTTGCAGTTGGGAGGTCAAGGCTTCACACAATCTGAGAAGAACTTCCACCAGACAAGTTACTTCATTTGACAGAGGTCTGCCAATATCGTAAAATTATAGTACTAGTCGTGAGGCTATACATAAATAGGTAAAAACGGGGAAATTCGAGGCTTCTTGATTTGCTGGTCTTAGCCAACACACCAGCCTCTCGTTTTTGATCTTATTTTTGTCCACTGAACCCCTGGACTCACCAACGATATACTAAGAAATTCAAAGGCATCGAAAAGTTGGCTCCATGTTGACAATTTTGCAAACAGGCCAAATTGGTGAGCATTTCAAAGGGTTGATTAAAGATGTGGTATAGTTGTATAGGTCGGAGTGGACCTCTTCGGTGGTACATGATTAAGTAGGCCTATAACAAAGGTGAGTAGAACCTTTTCAATGCCTATGAGTAACAGTTGTCAGTAAGAGCTATGTTCTTCTCTTGCAACTCGATTTGTTACTATCTGTCTACTACCGTTAGACTTCTTCTAGGACGGAGGTGGTGTAGTAGTTAGTGGCGTACCATCACACAAGCATGGTCACGGGTTCGAATCCCGGATCGCTAACCGCCCAACCAAGCATTCCATCCCTCCGGGTTAGGTTGATGGGTACCATATTCGGCTGGGAGGACCACCGGTGACCACCGCAAGTCATTTTATAGGCCATATACGTATTCAATATACTATTCTGAATGGAAGTTGACTACAGGAACGCATTCCTCAGACGGGATTGATTAACGCCCCAAGACTTTATCCTTTGTCCGTTTTTCTTGTTTTTCTTTCACTTCGAAGCCATTTCATACCAAGAATCGCTCATTGAGCGACACTTAGTCAGATGTGTACATTCTTGATCATTTTGTTTGAACATAGCTGTCGTGGGCAAGTATTAGGTTGAGCCATAAGTCTTCGGACAACGTGTTAGTGACGACTTCTAGAGATCATAACTCGGGAAAGAAGTGACGAAAATGGACGAGCGAGGCATCGTTAGATAGAGTATGAAAGCTTTCCCAAATACATACTGACGAATACACCTGACCATCTCCTGCGCTTGAGCGTAAGAAGAGAAAGTGCCATGTCGGCGCGAAAATNCATGTCATACTGCTTCAAAGCATGAGCCACCCATCGACCGAGCTTTCGCACCTTGCTGATTGCCTTCGATCCACAAATAACTGTAGGCTGGCAGTCCAACGGTGACTACCAGTAGTTTGATACGGATCGGCTTCCACCTGGCTTCCCAGCACGTCCAAATCCGACTCCACTGAACGTCTCGGACGGTCTTCATTTTCAATGGAATGGTCGCTCGAAGTGAACTTCGTGTGCCACTTGTAAATTGTGCATCTAGCAGGAGCAACCTTCCTGTAAACTTCCTTCATACGCCTGTTGATCTCCGCCGGCTCTTGGCCAGATAAAAAAAGAAATAGGGTGGTGCTGCGGAGGTCGAGTTGCAACGACTTGAAATCATGGGGCATGATTGAAGAAAAAGAAACAGTTAGGTGTGTTCGTTAGCATGTATATTGAGTATTTTGAAGAGCTTTCCATACTCTATTCAACGGTGCCACGCGCGTCCATTTTCGTCACCTCCTTCCCGAGTTATGATCTCTATAATTCATCACTATCACATTGTCCGAGGACTTATGACTCAACCTAATAAAAAGGCTGATTTGCAGTTGGTGTTTGAAAGTCGCAAATCTCTCCTCTCTCACTTTTTATGGATCTCGAGTTATTTCTATTTTGAAGAAGTTGTAGCTTGAAAAGGCCATAAGCACTTTTTTATTATCAGTAAGAACCGTTCAGTCATTTTTTAACCTTCCCTCACATCCATGGATAGATTACCATCAGAATCTTTTTTCCTTTTTTTNTTTTTTTCAGTTCCTCGTGTTCTTAATGAATTATGCAGACTCTCGCCTTCCCAACCGGCAGTCGCGAAGGCAGATCACTCCGAGCAACCCGCTGTTCGGCGGCTGTGAGCCGAGGCAATGGGCCTCGCCCAGGTTCTACATGATTTCGCTAACTGGTCAACTGTCTGTGGTGTACCCCACATCGCCAATGCCAGGACCAGGGTACAGCACTGCTCAGCCCAGGGTATAGCCTTCGCGGGTAATGCTTCTATTTTCAGGCATGGCGAATTTTCTGGTCGGTGGTTTTCATTTGTATGTTCAGTATGTTCGTTTATCAACTTTATACGATGATCGTCAAATTCATATCGTTTCCCAGTAATGTCAACACCGAGATCTTCTTTAAAGAGCAGGTCCGTCTGGATTGGTCTTGCGGGTTCATGGGGAAAATCTACAAGCTCACTTTTGAGCAGAGAAGCCCAGCTGGCTAAACAAAGCCACGCCCACTTTATGCTCGTTGCGTCTGCGCTCTCTCACTAACAGCTCTCAATGGTGATTAGTGAGGCTCGTGTTGAGCCCATCTCATAAAAATAAGACTAATATCAACCATCTTGAGTCTTGTTACAATTGAGTTCATCACTGGTATTTTGGAGAATTTTACATTTTCCCAAAGTAGGGAGACAGGATTTAATCCATCGATCGATATATAACGACACCATTGTCTCGGTAAATGGTTGCAAATGAGCAGAGAAGGGCTTTGTTAGCTTTGCCGTATGTCCCTGACAAGCGGCTGTTTCCATAGTCTGCGATTTGGGCTGCGACCGGTCGCGAGCCAAATCGTGGACTATGAAAGCAGCCAGCCGCGCGTACGGCCTCCGTGCAAATTCCGACTCCTGTCCCACTCAAGGCTTTGCAGAATGAAGGGTTTTGGATACTCAGGATATTCTGGTAAGTGTTTGAAATTATTTGCTTTTTCCAGCTGCTAAGGTTTTTCTTGAACAAAATGTACTGACTCACAATTCCAGGCTTTCCCTGTGGTTACGGTGTGCAACTCAAATCCGTACAAATTCTCAGCAATATTGAATCAAAGCAACAATCTCGACACTATTAAGCACCTTATGGATGTCTATGTTGGAGCTTCTAGCAAATCGTTGACTGCAAGCGACGAATACGGACTATATGCGAGTGATTTCTTACCAATAGTCTGTAAATAACAAAACAAAGAACGAAAAGGATTCTTTTGAAATATAACATGGACCCCGGATCGATACCCGCCCAACCAGGCCTTCCATTCCTCCGCGGTTGGTTAATTGGTAGCAGACTCGTGTGGGAGGATAAAAGCAGTGACTTGTACACCGGCTGGCCACCGCAAGTCATTGTACCACATACGCATTCATTACGCCACTACGATTCTGCATGGAAGTCGAATGCGTGGCTCATCCCTCACGCAGGATTGATTAACGCCCAAAGGCTTTATCCTTCAGACTTTATAACATGGGTACTCCTGTTGATTAGCTGGGTATACGCCACGTAATTAAATCCAAACCAAATCACCTTTCGAACGGACACACGTCTAATGATCAAATTGACTGTCAATACTCAGGGGACACACCAAACTCTCTTAAAGTTCGCTGTGAACGAAACAGTTTTTGCAGATCAAAAGAATTTGTGCTACAGTAATCCTGCAGGCACAGTCAGATTTTTGAATACCCCTTTTTATTGCGGCGTCTCTTCTGTTTCACTGTGTGAGATTACTGTAACAGGAATTCTTTCAGACTGCGGAATATGTCCTGTCCGTCATTGCTTTATCGTTTTCTTTCAATACGGTAACATTCCTATAAATAAAACGCTCTGAAAGGTTCTGTACCACCCAAAGGAAACGAATACCCAACCCCTCAGCTCTGCCAATGCTATCACCTAAATCGGCCATCAGTGAAAAAGTTTTTTTCTAGTTTTCTTAAAAAGTTGCAGAACTTATTTTCAAAGAGGCTGAAGAAGTACTGTAGCCACTTATTTCAGGAGCTCATGAATACTGACTATGAAAAAGAGCAACGTGCTTGGGATGCACTGGCACTGGAAGCAGCACAACTGGGCGAAGAAATGCTCAATCCGGCCCTTTACACTTTTGGAGAACTCATTACGGACTGTACTTTTTCGGGAAAGAAATGCTCAGCGTGAGAATTTTTCAAGTCTGAGCGAGGGTTAGGATGTAACAGAAGCGTTGTGCTTCAGGGCTGACTTCACCCGGATTTTCGACCCGATCTATGGCGCCTGTTATTCCTTCAATGAAGATTCCACTCTCAGTTATTCCACAAGCAGAGCAGGCATGAAATTCGGATTGAAACTACTCATCACAGTCAGCGTAAGTTGCAGATCTCAAAAATGCTAAACTTGCCTTTGGATGTTTACAGTATGGGCTTTCAGCAACAAACAACGTCTATGGTGAAAGATTTTCTACCGACGACGAAGATGGCCGGAGCGAGGGTTGCTATCCATCCTAGAGGTACTCTATTCTCTCCTGATTCATTGAGACTGCAGCAGTGGCGATTTTACAAATACCGGTAACTTGTTGATTCCTTTGTAGCTCAAGACGCCCATTTTGGATGAAATCTTAGATCAATCCTAATTCATTTTTTCAGTTGGGGTAGTACTGAGAGTTGGTTGGCCGTTCTCTGAACGCCGTGTTTGATCGCAATTCAAAGGCTTCAATGAGCCTCTCACTCAATGATGAAGTTTAGAACTCTTTTAGGAACCTAAAAATGGAAACGTATAATCTCCCATGTTTTGAAGAGAGCTTCAAGATTCTGCTGTTTACTAGCTGCTAGAGCCAAACAATCCCAAGCTCCATCCTTCACAAGCTCGAATCAGCTCGAGCTCTTCATTTTGGACCATGGACCTAAGTAAAAGTCACCTAAAATTCCGTTCTCTCGGCATGTCAACCCTTTCATCAGGGTGTTTGTTTACTGATGGAGATTGTGAAATTTAAGGTGTACATGCAGCCCTTGACAACAATGGAATCAACGTCGGAGTAGGCTACCAAACTGCCATTTCACTTGTCTCGGTTCGTTTCCTTTCTGAAATTCGTGTGCCTCGTGAAGCTCCTCCTAAGATCATTCTAGACGAGAACCCAACGACTGAAAGAGCCATATGGGAAATGTGTAGACACCGAACCGGCCGCCACCAACCTCTACAAGGCGAGTGATGAACCGGCCTACCGGCCGAATATTTAGACTTAGCTTTGAGCTTCGCACTTTTGGGTTCTGCTTCATGAGTGTCCGATCCATAACAATCATTTTAAAAGCATTTAATGAGGCAGCTCACAACTGCTCATATGTGGGGGTTGCTATACACTCAAGGTTCCGGCACGAGGAAGCTTTTATACAGCGACATCAGATTGAAGTGTAGAGGTGATTTCAGTCGAATGTCTACACCCTGGAGACATGCTTCTACAACTGTCGCCAACGTGAAACCATTAAACAATGTGGTTGTGCAAATCCACGGTTCAAAAAAGCCGATTCACAGCAGTGGTGCTTACCGACGAAAGCTAACTGTAAGTTTCTCAGAATTGAAGTTAAGAAAAACTCTTCCAACCGCTCGAAGTCCATGCCTAATCCCTTGCCAATGACCCTCATTCTGGGGAAACCCAGTAAATGGGGTCGATCTCCTGGTCCCTGTCCATTGATTCGTTGCTTAAGGGTCTGCTATACGGTGCTGGCTTGTCGACTCACAATCACCTAAGTATTTAAATGCTTAATAATCTAATTCAAATTCGGATGCGCTTCGTTGCGCGCGTCAGTCGAAACTAGGTCACGCCGCAGCCGTCGCATGCGGCGGCTCAGCCCGCGATACTTGACAGACGTCGCAGTTGTCAGTGGGGCATGCGGTCTTGGTCCGCGGCAGTCAGCCAATGAAAAGATAACACGGACAAATGCAAATCAGTCGCTCCACTCACACCTGGTGGTACAGTAATGTCATCTCGAGACCTCATTAGAGTGCGCCGCGCGCGAAGTGGGCGGGGTGACCTACTTTCGACGGACGTTCGCCTTCAAATTCTTACCAGGACCACTATTTGTTCAAAAATAGTCTACTCCTTACAAAAAATGAGTAATAAGCCTAGTAGTATTGAAAGTGCCCCAATCTCTAGAGGTTTCCCTATTGTAGCGGGTTTCGATTCAGTGGACTGTTGGTATGGCGTCTCCGGCGCTGCACCGCCTAACATTTATAGAGTGATATTAGTATCAGACTCAGATGGAGTTCTTTCAGTGGATTGCTTGACGTCACTTCGTGGAGATCAGGCATCGACATCACCGAATATCTCTCCACTGCAAGATTGTTCTTGCGGTCCGCCATGCTCTGAGACGTCGTACCTCACCACCGCTAGTATCTCGAAATTTCCTGCGGAAGATTACTTCGTCGCTACTGATCCTACACAAGGAGTGGTTAGTAGCTGGTTTTGGGGAGAATGTATCAATTACCACCTCGAAGCAAAGTCCACGACATTTTCAGGCTGGAAGCTGTGACAATCAAAACCCAACTTTCAATCAGGTAAATAGTCAGGCTTTCTTGCCAAAGTGAATCAGAGTGAATAAGTCTGGTTGAGTATAGCTGATTTGTTTTTTTTACACTTGCTGGTTGCAATCCGCAACGAGGGAATCACTTCTCTTTTTGTCTTCATGTGTCTGTCTGTCCTCAGTTAATCTATCCATTTGCCCAACTGTTTGTCTGTTGGGCTGTAAAGTTGCCTCTTGTGGTCCACTACTTTCTACGGCTTCATTCGAAATGTAGTATCCATGAATTGTATAAGTATTAACAGAACGCAGATTAGTTACTCTTAAATGGAGGGAGCTGATAGTAAGACCCTCCTTATTTGAATGAGCAGACCCCGCCTATTTCACTAGTTCTGCCCCTTCAGGAGGCAGAATAGTAAATAGTCTGTTAATTGTAAAGGAACAGAAAGAAGATTCATTGCAACAGGGGCTGTTTTTATTTTTATTTCTCTTCTTTACCAAGGACTTCCTGAATTTGCCCTCAAAGTACCGGCTCTAATAAGCCCCACAAATCCATCTACTTCTCGTTCATGCTTTCCTTATGGAGCGTAGATTTCCTTTGTAACATTCCATCCACTTAAATGGCCATACCAGAGGAACTGTGTGCCATCGTAACTTGCTAAAACCCACTTTCATAGGTGGTAGTCAGATTGAGTTTGCTAAAGAGGCTTTCTAGACAGTATGGACATCTTCAATTCTTTCCAGGATCCACGTAGGTGTCGGGAATGGTACGCAAAGAATGCACTTCTCTTGCAGGTGTTCTTTGAGACCTTAAAATACGAATCCTACACGGAAGTACCAAGCTATGGGGTAAGACCCATTCTTCGTACAACAGCAAATGTTCCAGTGACACCATTTCTATTTTTTCAGATTTCTCCTGCTCTGAACGATCTTGGTGGCCAGGCTGGTTTGTGGCTGGGATTATCAGTGATTTCTGTAATTGAGGTAAGTTTATTTGAAAATTAGCAAAAAAAAGCGGAATATCTCATCGGTCATTTATTTCATGTGTACACATAGGTTAGAGATAACAAAATCATTACTTGTCAGGTAAATGTACAACAAGTCTTCTACAAACTTCTGCTAGGCTGCTCATAAAAACGATTTTCAAGACACCAATGAATCTTTTTTGAACCTCCATCATTTGAAAAGAACCATGTAGCCAATCTTTGCGTCTGAGTGGGCAACCGCTTCGTTTTTTTTTTGCACAGACATCTTGAGGTGAACACTGAAAACCCAAAAAAAANAAAAAAAATCATCCATAAAATGTTATGTCTACGAATATTTTCTCAATTTCATAGAGATCTTATGATCTGTCTAGGATGGATTCGATCTTTAGGTTGTGGGGTTGATAACAGCGCCTCGTGCCACTCGGACACTGTCGCGAAAATTATTGTTTCTTTTCATTTGCTTACTGGGATTTCGATTTTTTCCATGGTCCACGTCATTCATGATTGTTTCGTAAAACTCAGGCAAGACCAGGACCTTGAAATTTCTGCCATATTCAATTCCTATGTTGGAACTCAAACCCATTGCGACTTTTTGAAAAATCGACCTACTCCCCTTCGCGGACTCGACTCGGTAGTGGAAGAATACTGTTTCATTAAGGAACGAGATCTAGAATCCTGGGCTTATTTGCATACGTGCCATATAAACTTCTTGAAAATTTTAAATACGCGGCAAATGAAAATTTCAAATCCACAAAAGGATGTCAACTTCGAATGGAAGGCTCGAACACCTTGTCGTACACTTATGGATGCGCTTCGTTGCGCGCGTCCGTTGAAACTAGGTCACGCTGCAGCCGTCGCATGCGGCGGGTCAGCCCGCGATACTTGACGGACATCGTAGTTGTCAGTGGGGCATACGATTTGCGCTTGGTCCACGGCAGTCAATTCAAAGAGAAGATAACAAAGGCAAATGCAGTTCATTCGCTCCATTGACATTGGTGATACTGTAATGCCTTCTCGAGACCTAAGTGTGGTGCGCCACGCGCGAAGTGGGCGGGGTGACTTACTTTCGACGGACGCGCGCAACGGACGTTCTCCTACACTTATGACCTGCACCTCAGATCACTTGCTAGATGACTTCAGAGAAATGTTCTCAGTAATTCGATAGGGATTGTAAAAAACTCCGACCTTTTGACCTGAAAAAAGGCTCATTTCCAGCGGAAGTTATAGATAATACTCTTTCAATAGGAACACGTCGATGTCTGCCTCGGTGAATAAAACTGTTGGTTGAAATAATGTTTCTGAATGGTTGTAAGGTTAAAACCAAAAAATCTCAATCTCCTATCTGTCATCGAATTATACAGGTATGCGCTTTGATTATGATGTTAATACTGTACTGCGTGACATGTGGCAGACTGAAAATCAGACCTGACGATGGAGAGTTGGAAGAGGATGAACGAATCAGGGCAAGTTCAAGTTTTTCAAACTTTCTATTCGATGCTATATAAATCTGGCTTCACTTGAACTTATTCAGGACATTGGAGAGGTGAAGAAGGAACTCGACCACGCCGATAGACATGATAAAGCAATGTACGAAGAGGATGACGATATCGATATTGAAGATGAAATCAACGATAATAACAATGAAAAGAAGGCGGAGTGATAATCGAAAAAGTGTTCCAAGTGCTATCTGTGACAATAAATCTGATCAGAATACTAATAGAGTTCCGAGGAATGATGGGTGTGGTGCAGTAGGATCGAAATTGTCGGTTGCGGCGAGAGACGTCGCGCGCGAAGGAATCTGGCAGAATGCAGCAGCAACTAAGAAATACAGGAACAAAAAAGAAACAGTAGAATCATTTCAAAAGTAATAATCGCATAGCGATTGACCTGTATGAAGAACACTAGAACTGAAATATCGAAGCGAACGATCAGCAAGTGCCGCGCGCGGCGAATCGACTGTATAAAACCGATCCTACTGCCCGTCTCCCAGGAGTGATGCCTTTTAGTGATAATCACTCACTTTTTGGGAAGCGCCCCGCTCGACTTTCATTCAAAATTGTAGAATTGTTTTGAAAGCGTAAGTGATTTAAACACTGATCCGAGTGGCTAGCTGGTAGACAGATCAGTGTTCTCATACTCAAATGCGAGCAGGAACCAATTAAAGCCCCCGAAGAGTAAAAGTCTTATTGTTAGTTGGCCTGGCCGGATATCGATCGAGATTCGATAACCTGCCATGCGCGCCACTTGCCACTACACTACCTTTGGCCTTTGCTTCCGATAATCACATTTAGTTGATAATAAAATGATAATAAAAACAGATCTTCAACAGCCGTTCCCTACCTATTAAGACTCGCTCTGCAAAGTTATTCCGAGATGGCAATAAAAAAAATTATTCCTTCCCGACAGAATCATAACACTTTCGGCGCTCTTTCGATCGTGAGAAATTTGGAAGCGAGAAATGGAACGGACTCGGACGAAGAGTTGACGATTTTTTAGGATTTGTCAGAGCCTCATTCCATCTCCGTAATACCATCTTCATTCAGACTTTTCTATGCGAAAAAAATTGTAATGACCTACAAATACGGCATTCCGGAAGGAATCGATCTTCAAATGAATTATACTGGTCTTCTAAATAAGCCATAAACAGACGCTGTTTTAGTAGAGGTGGAGTTCAGATGATATAGGCAAGATCCGATCTCTAACGGAACCGGTTTTCAAAGTGGCGCCTCTGCCTGCTGCGCTGCTTTCACCACTGTTCTGTTGGACAAACCATGTCGTACTCGGACTTTAAATCTTGCTTTGTTTCTTGTTATCTACAAAAGTTCAACACAACTAACTGCCAGGCAGAAATGTCTCTTACTAGGTAATTCCAAGTTATTCCGAAGATCTTCTATGTTCCAAAGGAACAAAACGAAAACTGAAGCTACCTTGACTTTTCCCGAGCCTCGGAACGAAATGTTTGAACGTTCATTTTGTTCCGCAGCGGTGCTTAATATCCCGTTATACATAATCCGCTAACTGTGCCTGGCTGTGTTTACCCCCATTCACCCCTGTTTGGTCGACCGAATTCCATTTTTTCTACTTGGTGACTGATCACGGCTTTTTTCGAAAAAAAAAAAGTGGTTGCAGCTCGGCCCTAGTGGGATCTCCATCGAAGGCAACGCAACCCCAAAAACCAATGAAAGAGTCCAACTTAAGATCTCCTCTGCTGTGTGTAGAGTCGTAGAGAATCGTCAAAGCAGAATTTTTACAATTTCTCAGATAACAATAGATAAATCTTAAACTCAGTGTTTTCCAGTCATTCTCATATTTATTTATTTTTCACCTCTACTCTAACAAACTATATCAAAATAGCTAACCCTTTGACTACTAACATCTAGTTTCTTGTATGTAATGCAAATCAAATCCCTCTTCCAATCTAGGGGGTCTGGGTATATGGACTTACGTGCGTCCGAAGATAAGCGTGGCAATTTACGCGACGAAGTTCGTAACGATTTGATCAACCTTAGCGCCTATCGTTGGTGTCCAAATTTGAAGTAGAGCAGATTAGAAGAATCATCTGGCCCTACTAAACTACTCTATTTCCAATTTGTGCCTCGAAAATTTTCGTCAGAGTCGTACGAATCGTCACGAACTTCGTCGCGCAAGTTGCCGCGCGCATCTTCGGACGCACGTAATGCACGTCTCTCAGGGGGCCTATGCTATGTACCGTCAGCCCGACCCTTCACCTATATGACGCGTCAGAAAGGGCTCTTGGGTAGGAACACTAGTGGCTGCTTTCATAGTCCGCCGTCTGGCGCGCGAGCGAACGAGCGAGCGAGCGGCGAGGGGCGGCGCTTGTTCCTTGTTTACAATTGACGAGTAGTCCCCCGGCCGGCTCGCGCGCTCGCTGACAGACTATTAGACCGGTGAGTTGGTGAGTACTTCGAATTGGTTACGCGACTACTTGAATTTTCTCTGCATTCCTGATAGCGAAAGGTAAGAGGGCAGAGAAAAATGCCCTGGTTGAAGGACACGGGGTAGGTGGTGTGGGTTCCATTTATCAAGTTTACTGAATTTTTGTTGTTTAATCATGTTTACATACCGTAGCGATCCAAAGATCTTGCAGAAATGTTAAGAATGATAAGTCCAGGGTGCGCTTCGTTGCGCGCGTCCGTGAAACTGGTTCACGCCGCAGCCGTCGCATGCGGCGTGTCAGTCCGCTATAGTTGACAGACGTCGCAATTGTCAGTGGGGCATACGATTTGCGCCTGGTCCACGGCAGTCCGTGAAAGAAAAAAATATTACGGACAAATGCCAATCGTTTGCTCCACTGACACTTTGTGGTACTCTAATGTCATCTCGAGAGCTCACTGTGGTGCGCCGCGCGCGAGTTGGGCAAGGTGACCCACTTCCGATGGACGCGCGCAACGGACGTTCTCCATGAATCCAACAACATGACATGAAGTTGTTAGACGTCAACATGTTCAAATAAATAAAAAAAGTGTTGTTCCATAAACGCTAGTAGTGCCGGCCTATTTTTAGGCGTATTTGTTAGTCCGCAATAACGTCGCCAGCACCAAGGAGGCGTATTNCTGGGCGGACGTCAGCTGCAGGCTCTCATGCTGCCTGCATGATCATTGCGACCACGCAATTCTGCTGTTCAAGGTCTTATCAGAACAGGAGTTGCCTAACGAATAGTTCCCTTATCTTCCCGTCTTTCGTAGGGAATGCTCGTCACTGAAAAGCAGTCATTGTGTTGATCCTATTGATTTAATTGCTAATTCATTTCAGCCAGTGGTAAACAATGGATTTATTGTAATAAAGCTGTATTTATAATTCATTATGGTACTGAAGATTATACTCATTGCATTGCTGTATTATCCGCTTTCAATTGGGCTTACATTTTATCAAAAGTGGTTTATAAAGGTGAGCTTCCACTTCAGCTTTATGTAACGGCAACCACTTTATTGATTTGTTTTTGCAGAATTATAAATTACCTCTCTTCGTGGTCTGTTGGCATTACATTGTAAAGTATTTTGCCGCTATATGGATACGATTTCTTTATGAGGCTTTTCACAAAAAGCGGATACGACTTCATTTTAAAGAACAGCTAAGGTTTGGAAAGTTTTTATCCTCTTATCATTAACAGCTTCGTCATTCTTGTCTCCTTTTCAGGTGGCTTGCACCTATTGGTATTTGTGCATCGCTCGATATCGGGTTATCCAATTGGGCTCTTGAATATGTTACCGTCAGCTTGTACACGATGGCAAAAAGCAGTTCTATATTGTTTATTGTGGCGTTTTCGCTATTGCTGCGACTTGAAAGGTCAATTTTTCGTCTACTTCCCTTGACGTACAACACAAATTCTGCGGTCTGAAGAACCATCAATACAGTATCCTCATGAGCGTAAAAGAATACCAATCAAATGATCAAGAGGTCCCATTACACAACAGCACGGCACAAAGATAGCAAGCAAATCCAAGGTCTGGGAGAATGGTGTCGAGTTTATCAGATGCGAGACGTCAGTCAATGAAAAGAACATTCTCTAACGACAGGACTCAGAGGGCCTTCGTCACCAGCTGCTCGTTCACCTCCTTCTTCTAAAATAACCTAATTACGGATTGTGGATTGGTAGCCTGATTATGGATTATTTTGTGGTCACAGGCCGAAGAAGATCCATAGGCCCAGCCCGCCCCCTGTGGCTAGTTTCAGACTTGAACGTCCGTCCGTCCGTCCGTCCGTCCGTCCGTNCCGCCGTCGCAGCACGCGCTGAACGGACGGACGGACGGACGTCGGACTCTGAAAGTAGCCTGTGCAGGAGCGCGTCACTTACCGTGGAAGTAGGGTAAACATAACATATTAACATGATTTCCGCCAGAAGAGGATCATTGTGTGGATGGATCTACAAACGCCAATTTCTTTTCGAAGTGTGATCACTCGAACATTAAGGCGTATTTTTTCCTAGTTGCGATGAGCAAAGTGTAATATCTCTAATCGCAGGCGCGAGAGGGATGGCTTTGTTGGTTGTCAAGAGGCAAGAGTTCCGATAAATGATAGAACAAACTGCGATTGCTGCATGTTGACAAGCAGTTTGTATATCGCCAACGATTAACCTTATTGTCATATTTGCGACGGAGGGTTCTCAGTTCCGTTCAATAGGACTAGTCGATAATTATTTCAAATTACAAAGAAACTCCGAATGAATTTCCGCAAATCATTAGAGACTGGAATGCTTGAAAGTCTTTACTACAGAACCTCCTTTTTTTCCCTTCTCTGGAAGATTGGTTTTACAATTCGTTAAAATGACCTGCACCAGGTAAGGTGACCTCGGTTCAAATCATATCTTATACCAGATTAAGGGTGGTTCACTTATTACTTATAACCATCTTAAAGTTCTGAATGGCTCGACGAATGTACCGACCAATGAAAAGTGTTTCAGGTGGCGACCGGCACTTGGTATAGAAGCAGCGTTGATTGCTATCGGTCTCTTTCTGTTCACGTGGCATTCGTCTCAGTTAGACCTTACTGGGCTGCTACTTGTTGAGCTTGCCGCGTCATGTACTGGAGTCCGGTAAGCTTTCACCTTTCATATGACACTAGGTTTTCCTTGCTCACAACTTACTACATTTCGGATTTGAAGCTCTCGCTATTAATAGTTACTTTCGATTCAGTTATTTTAAGAAGTACTGCTCATAAGTACGTACGGTTTTGTGGCTTTTATTGACAAACTCTTAGCTTAGCCATCAAAGGTGACAGTAACAATTAATAACTATTTAGTTTTCTTTTGAAAAACCGAGGTTGAGAAATGTAGTGTTTGTGTTCTTGATTTTGCGGTTACCGGAGATGGTTTTATAGCAATTGTTGAGTGTAAAATTAAAGCGTTAACTTTATCACCCCAATTTTCTTTCCTCAACCACAGTTTATCTTCGCCTCGTTAAACAACAGCAACCGCGTTGCGCAAGATCACATTTTTGCATGTAGCAAAAAATAACCCTACAGAGGATTATTGTCTTCGATTTCAGGTGGACTGTATCGCAGCTAGTTATGCAAAGAGAAGAGCAAGCTTTAAATCATCCTTTGGATATGGTAGCACATGTACAACCTTGGATGCTTATTCCTATTGTCCCCCTTATAATCACGTTTGAAGGTTTGTTCCTCTATTTATTGATAACTGCAGCAGAAATATTGATGTAAAGATTTGCAATACTGTATTGTTGCATCGGCCTTTTAATGTTATGCACATTTTTATTTTAGGGTCGGAGCTTTCCTATGAGAATATACTGTATTTTAACGGGCAATACGCTCCTGTACAAATCGCTTTGTTGGTTGCTTGTGGGGGTCTGCTTGCGTTCTGTATGGAAATGTCAGGTACACTTATCAAGCTAAATGCGAGTCTGAAATAGTGCAGATTCATTTTCCGTACGTCCAAAAATTTTAGAATATCTACTTCTTGTCAACACATCTGGAATTACGTTGAACATTTTCGGTATACTTAAGGTTGGTTCGTTTGTCATCTTTTCTGATCATAGCATCACTTTTCATTAAGACACGCAGAGGCGTTTGCTCATTTTTCAATTCGAACTACTTTTGTTAAATGAATTACGGATGTTGATCGACTCTTCGGCAGTTCCTACTCTCCCCATAAAAGGGTGTTTCCATTCGAGAGATAATTGATTGTTGGCCCGGGTGAAATTTGAACCACCCACAATGTTTGGCTGCCTGGGGTTTTCCGCCAAGCCGCTGAACAAACCCGGCCCGCTGGATCTGTTTTTTATATATGCGACACAATAATGGCCCGTATGCACAACTCCCGGGGTAGGGGAGGGGGAGGAAGTGTTTGTTTTCGCCGTGGGTCAGATAAGTGACGCTGGAGCGCAGTATTTTACGCCTCTAAGACAGTGTTAAATTGATATCCGAAGCTCCATTTCTCGATTAGATGAACCGGAATTTGGAGAGCGTGTGGATTGTTGCCAAGGAAAAGCACTCTACCAAAGTGGAGGGGGTTTTACTCTGAAAACGCTCTAGGAAGTAGCAAAAGGTTAGTATGTTCTACGAAATGCATTTTTAGGGTTGTGGAAGCTTAGGAACGCGCATCCAGTTATCGTGTAGAGACCTTAATTACCTATTGCAAAGAGACCTTAATTAAATGCGAATATTTGAATGTTATAGTACTGCTCCTATACCTCTATTAATTGTGTAAAAAATAATTAACTGTAGAGAACAGTAACAAAGTGAAGCATCTAGAGAAAATGTCACAAATCAATCAAATTTGTATACCAGATGTCAGATGAATAGATGGATTGTGTTAAGAAGTTTGTAAAAAGTCTTCAAATATCGTTGGGCGGGAGAGTTGGGCTAGTTCCCGTTTTTATAGAGCTTTTCTTAAAGACCAACTTCAGCACTATGAGGAGAGGTCATTAGAACCAAACAAGCACCAATCACTTCCATAGTAATTAATGGATACGTACCAGTTCCTTCACTTTCCAACCTTTACACTTCTCCGAAATACTTTCCGGCTCAGGAACTTCATACCGCGAGATCCTGCACATACGCANAATTCAGGTTCAAAATTGCGAGCTTAGAACAAAACTGAGCCATAAAATAAATTAATGCTACGGATGCTCCTTTCACGACAGGAGTACTCGGGAGTACAAAGATTAAAATGTCATAGGATATGAAATATCATACCAATCAACCGAAAAACTACTTACGAGTTGCTGACAAATAATTTCGGTTTCCTTCTTAAATCACACCAGGATCGTGATGCAATATGCTCACGATAACTGGTGTAAGTCTAGAAAGAAAAACCTGTATATTTGAAAACTAAACTGCTCTACAGCAACGACGTCAGCAATTTAAATAAATTGGTAGTTGGTTGCAGCAGTAGAATAAAATCAGAGCAATACTTGACGAATTCGGCAGCAGAAGTCAGTGGAATAAGCGCTCAGTCGAATAATGTAGTGAATAGCAGAGTTGCGGTCTACATGACCATCGGCGCCCCAGCTCTATTCTAGGGGTAGATTCATCCCCCGGGGAGCCAATGGGGTCGGGCTTCTCTGAGCTCTCGCTAAGGTAAGGTCGCAGAGACAAACATCACATGATTACCAAGGGCTGTCGATTCTTCACCTGTTTATAGGAAATACTTAGCTCCATTGCAACTATCTTGACACAGAACAAAGGCAAAAACCCCATTTGAACACTCGCGCCCTCGGCAAACATTTCCTCTCCCTCCCCTACCCCGGGCGTTATGCATACGGGCCTTCATCTGTTTATAGGAAAAAACATCGCTCCATTGTCACTATCTTGACCCAAAACCTACCATTTGAACGTTCGCGCCCTTCGCAAACATTTCCTTCCCCTCCCCTACCCCGGGAGTTGTGCATACGGACCAATATCTTTATCGTCTAACACCGTGAATTTCCGTCGTTCAGCTTTTTTTTGATCGGTTTCATCTGAGAAATATTTGAAAGGTGTTTGAGCAGAGTTGTGCATAAACTCACGAGCTACTTATGGCAGATTAGAAGCTTTCAGAAGATGAGCTATTGAAGTTTTAGACTTAGAAAGACACTCAATTCCTGATGACCGGAAGTCTGATCTTACAGTACTCTATGATCTCAAGTTTAGGAAGTAGCCACTCTTCTTTTGGCTCACCTTTTAAACAACGACCGTCTTTCATCAGTGAATATCGCTGGATTAATTCTCTGTCTTCTTGGCATGGCTCTACATGGAATGTCACGTAAGCGGCAACGGTACTTAAATTAAATAATTTACGATAAATAAAACCTGTCAAAATGATCGCTCCTTAAAGGTCCCGTCCAGGCAGCCCCAAAGATGACTCGCGGAAATTACTACTCGTCGACGATACCGATGGATAGGAGGATAAATTTTGACTGACAGTAGGTGAAATACTCGCGACCGAAAGTAGCGAAGTTTGTAAAGAGTCGCGATCAAACTGGTACCTCCCAGTTTGAAGCGTGATTATATTAACGTTATTACGTGAACGAGAACCAACTCTCATGTAAACATTCGTTTAATGTATCTCTAGTAATGAATGCAGAATGGATGTGCTACTACTATTTCCAGACATTTGCGTATACATCTAAATTCACGGGAAACTACCGACATTTCAAAGTTTAACAGAAATATGTGTGTTTTTACGGCGCTTAATGGGTTGTTTTTGTGATGTTATAATGTACTTTATTTTTACAGTAATCATTTCTTTGATAAATTTTGGATCCAGTGTTCGCTAAAATTTGTATACATACTTTGTGTAAGCCCGTTTTTCGAATACAAGCTTCTTACACAGAACATGCCGTCAGTTTTTCGAATGGATGTACAATTTTAAACATCGATGGTTCCTTCACCTTTTTTATGAACTGTACTCGTCAACTTATATCACAAATTTGTAAATGAAAACGTGCAATGGAAATTTCTCTACAATCTAAGGCATTAAATAAGGACATAAATTAACATGAAAGAATCACAGGAAGAACAGTCTAAGGTCTGACAACTGAGCACGATATACATACATATGTCGCCACTCTTGAGCTAATGGGGTTATAGAGAAAAAAAGGAAACAAAGAAGTACTACAAATACCAGATTCGAGAAGAAAAGGTTATCGTGACAACAAATTCTATGGTCAACAGCTCACATGTAAAAATTGATGCGTAAGTAAGAATCACAACGTAACAAATATGATTCAAATTTGGAATCTCGCAGATCGTATAGTTTTAAACATATTGCACAATGATATAATTTATTTTATTACATTTATATAAATAACTCTTCTCTCCAAATAACTTAAGAAAAGTATCTTAGGTTAAACCTAATAAGAGACTGCAGATCCCAAACCCATCCATTGATCCGGAACAACAGGAAAGTAAGTATCAATAGCCTCAGAAAACCTATGAAATTAATTATGAGTCCAAGTATTGTATAATATACATTGTAGTAATCGGAGAACATACCGTGTGCAGTACATCTCCGGACTGAGGATGGTTGGGAGGTGAGCGCCAGGTATTGCAACGATTTTTACCCATGATTCGAGTTTCTGAAGGCGAAGAATCTCTATATAAAGCGATAACTTTGTATGTCTGCTTGTGGGTCGGTTTGTGCGTACTTCCGATAGTCATGTAGGCATGATGAACAGTGTGAATGTCATGTGAGCGCGATGAGGAAACAGTTATGAATGGGAAGTGAACCGTTTATATTGGTCCTCTAACAAATCGTAGGTAAGCGGTAGTGTGCATGTAGTGCACGTGTTAGGGTGCACAGCCCAACAAGTGTTGTTCGAAAGTACCCTAAAATTCCATCGATAAGAGCGGTTGAAACTACCGGTGAAAAATGAATTGGAATGAAATTGAAATTGAATGCAGTCACCCTCTAACTTGATGGATGGATAAATTAAACTTCGAAGAATAAGTAAAGAAGAAGCTCCGCCTCCA